CAGGGGGGATGATATGTTTATGGGGGAGTTTTGATGTGCTGGGGGGTGCAGGAGTGGTAATATTTAAGGGCCTGAAAAGGTTTTGATGTTATTGGAAGGGGTGAGAACTTATAGGGGCACAGAGGGGACAGTAAGATAAAGAGACACAGGGAAGGCAGGATATTTGAGGGCAGCAGTGTATGGGAGCAAACAAGGGTAGCACTGTCTCTCTTATATGTGTTGTTGCTATTATTTTATCCAGCCATGCAACAATAACTGTATCCTGTATTACCACCACACAAGCTTGACCAACCAGCTATGTCTTTATCCTATACAGTGGAAAACAATTTTGGGCAGTACACTGGTCAGTGCTCTATTTTAACACTCTTATATACATGCAATTCCCAGTGAGCATTACCTAAACTCTCCATATACCTACTCAGAACTTCAGTGTGGACATTCTTAGCAAAGGTAGTATGCTTTGTGAAGCTGTAATCCATTGCCCAGGTGGACACAAAATGGGGGATTGAAGGAGCTGAGCCAATATTTCCTCTTCTCTTCCCAATAATAGTAACAACCATGTTTGGACACCACAGGGAATATCTTGAACACAAAGAGCTCCAAAAGCTGGAAACTGTACTTAGCATGCCGCTACAACCTTTTAATATTACATTATGGAAGACTGGTCAAGACTAATTGATTATTTGCATTATTTGCAGTCACAGCCTTCCCTGCAATAAATGCTAGAAAGGATATGAAACATTCCCTTGCAACTTCAGAAGCAGAACATGTACAATGTACTGACTGTAATATGATTCTTCTAAAAATGTAAATCCATTTATCGGAAACAAAAATACATTAACAATGAGAAAAGAAGAAAACTAAAATTGTATTAGACATATAGTCTACCATAGGAGACATAGAAAAGGTGAAGTGATGAATGCATGCTGTTATATCAGCACATCAGTGAATGTCTTCCATTCCAACCATCGGTAATTAATTCATATAATCCAGAGCTGAAATAGTGAGGTAGAGTAGATCTCTCACAGAGATGTTAATATCCTAGAATATAAGCAATCACAGTGCAATTTATTCTAGCTGTAGATCAAAGTTCTTATTCCCTTGGAGACCATTGTTAGCAATCCTGATATATGGATGCAATAAATTGTACACCTAAAGCAATATAAATTATTGTGGCATGAATGTCAAAGTCAGCAGAACTGTTTACTATTGGTACGCCAATGCATTATGCTGCTTGCAAGAAAACTCTGAGAGGTTGCATGCATATTTTTCCTCTATTATGTGATGGATACCACATATGCTGGTATTTACCTTGTTTGGGGATAAGATGCAGGGTGGACCACCATTGGAGATGAATGACAGCTGTCTCTGTAGCCATAGCAGCTCCTTCTGAGACTGTTTAAGCAAATGCTCTATATCACTTGGCTTTTGACCCATTAGACCCTCCTGCATTGAGCAAAAAAAGAAAGCAAAAGACAAGCTGACTTTAATGAATGTATTTAAACAAAGAAAACATTTTTTATCTATATATATCTATATCTATATATAGATATAGATATATATGTAGATATATATATCTATATCTATATATATCTATATTTATATATATATATATATTTTAGAAATGTCTGGGAATTTATTAAAAATAAAAGACTGAAATATCACATGTACATAACTATTCAGACCCTTTACTCAGTACTTTGTTGAAGCACTGTTGGCAGCAATTACAGTATTTTTGGGTATGGCGCAACAAGCTTTGCACACCTGGATTGGGGGATTTTCTGCCATTCTTCTTTGCAAATCCTCCCAAGCTATATAGATATATATATATATAGTGCATTTAGAAACTATTCAGACCCCCTTCACTTTTTGTCAATTTTGTTATGTTGCAGCCTGATACTACAGCTGTTTAAATTATTTTTCTCAATAATTTACACTCAGTACCCCATAATGACAAAGTGAAAACTGAATAGAAATGTTTGGAAATGTATGAAAAAGGAAAAACTGAAATATCACATTGGTATAAGTATTCAGACCCTTTGCAGCAACACTTGAAATTTAGCTCAGGCGCCTCCCATTTCTTTTAATCGTTGTTGAGATGTTTCTACACCTTGATTGGAGTCCACCTGTGATAAATCTAATTGACTGGACATGATTTGGAAAGACACACACCTCTCTATAGAAGGCTTCACAGCTGACATACTGGGGGTGATTTACTAACCTAAACACACACACACACCAGGTGTGTGTGATTTTCACACAGCAAAACGTATTTATCAACCAAAAAGTCTCTAAAAGCATATTTCCACTAATGCCATGCACATGATGCATATATAATGCTGCTTCACAGTTTAGACAAAAATGGTTAGCTCATGCATTTACATTCCTTGCATTCATCAACGCAAGCAACACAACATAGAGCTAATTTACCCAACATCACCTTGGAATTCAATCAGGGCTTTGCACAACACACCTGATGGGTGTGTACACATTACAAAGGTGTTTAGATTCCACCCATAGATCATGCTGGGAGGGAACACACTGCAGAGGTGTATACACGTTCGTGGTGTGTTTATAAGGTTAGTAAATCAACCCCACTGTATCAGAGCAAAAGCCATGAGGTCAAAGGAACTGTCTGCAGAGCTCAGAGGCAGGATTATTGCAAGTCACAGATGTGGTGAAGGCTACAAAAAAATTCTGCTGCACTGAAGGTCCCACAAGAGCACAGTGGCCCCCATAATTCTCAAATGGAATTAGTCTGGCACAACCAGGACTCTTCCAAGAGCTGGTCGCCCGGTCAAACTGAGAAATCAGGGGAGAAGGGCCTTGGTAAGAGAGGTGACCAAGAACCCGATGGTCACTATGATGGAGATCCAGAGATGCTGTGTGGAGATTGGACAAAGTTCCAGAAGGACAATCATGACTGCAGCCCTCCACCGATCTGGCCTTTATGGCAGAGTGGCTAGATGGAAGCCTCTCCTGCAAAACACATGAAAGCCCGCTTGGACTTTGCAAAAAAGCACCTGGAGGACTCTCAGACTGTGAGGAACAAGATTTTCTGGTCCGATGAAACCAAGATTGAACTGTTTGGCCTCAAACGTTATGTCTGGAGGAAACCAGCCACCGCTCATCACCTGCTCAATACTATCCCAACAGTGAAACATGGTTGTGGCAGCATCATGCTGTGGGGGCGTTTCTCAGCAGCAGGGACTGGGAGACTGGTCAGGGTTGAGGGTTGAGCGAAAGCAGATTGGAGCGAAGTACAGACATATCCTAAATGAAAACTTGTTCTACAGCGCTCAGGACCTCAGACTGGGCCGCAGGTTCACCTTCCAACATGACAACGATCCTAAGCACACAACATAGGAGTGGCTTAGGGACACCTCTGTGAATGTCCTAGAGCCAGAGCCCTGAGTTAAACCCTATTGAATGGTCTCCATCCAATCTGAGTGAGCTTGAGAGGATTTGCAAAGAAGAATGGCAGAAAATCCCCAAATCCAGGTGTGCAAAGCTTGTTGTGCCATAACCAAAAAAGCCTGCCAACAGTGCTTCAACAAAGTACTGAGTAAAAGGTCTCAATACTTAAGTACATGTGATATATGAGTTGTTTTTTTTGTTTAATAAATTCCGAGACATTTCTAAAATTTTGTTTTCACTTTGTCATTATAGGGTACTGAGTGTAGATTAATGAGAAAAAAAATATTTAAAAAGCTGTAGTATCAGGCTGCAACATAACAAAATTGAAAAAAAGTGAAGGGGGTTTGAATACTTACTAAATGCACTATATATATATATATACACACACATATACATACAACACACATATACATAGTATGTGCGAACATACATACAAAATAAATTGTACCTGTCCAAACAATATGTAGAGATGCAAGTCAGCCAGACAGCATAGCCGATTCTGTAAACTCACTTTCATCCAGTACAATAAAACAAATACATTTTGGTTAAGGACTGTAATGGTGCAGCAGCTTACTGATGAGATCATCACTGTACTCTTGTAAGCTCCCTGTGCTAAACTGGCCATACACCTTACAACCATTGCACGACTTTCGTTGGGCGATGGTTGTAAGGTAATTAAAATCTCGTACGATCTGCCCATCTTGGAGACGCAGATCGCACTTCATCGCAAGCCCTCCCCACTGAGGGGAGGGCTTCCAATGATTCCAACGCTGAGCGGACAGTATGCGCTTGCGCCCACTGGCCCGTTTGGAATTTGTCTTCCGAGCACGCCACCAACCCGTCGAAAATCTTACGATTTTCGGCAGGTTTTCAAGCGTGCTCGGAAGACAAAAGGCATGTGACCGTACAGTAAAAATGGTTGCACGCCTTCCATACACCTGCCGATTGTCATACGATCGTGGGATCACCCGCGATTATCGTACGATAATCGGCAGGTATATGGGCACCTTTAGACTGACAATCATGTGCAATGTAATAGGGATAACAGGAGGCCAATATAAAGACAGATTGAGGTAATAAGTAAAACACAATTAAAGGGAACAGGAAAGGAAATAATATGGGAGCTGTCATTGCTACTATATTTTTAAAGGTACAACCTCGTGAGCTCTCAAAACGACCCCAACTTCCCTACCTAGAATCACTAACCTGGACCAAGCATGCATACACTGACAGAGGTCTAAAATGTCTGAAGTTCCAAGTCAGAGTGGCTCACTAGAAAGGGAACAAAGTGAAGTGATCAAAATACCTACACATTTAAAAACAAGTCTACAATGGCAGCCCACATGCTTTTAATTGTCAAAGGCTTACAGTAATTTTTAAATGAATACTTAACTGTATAAAATGGGGACTTTCGTATATATCTATCTGGATTTCTTTGTATAACACATCATGTGACAATGCCAAAGATTGTTTCTTTGGTCTTAGATCAGAGACGTATGTTAGGCCATGACTTTACTAACATCCTACACTCTTTTAGCAATTAGCAGATGAAAGTGGTCTGCTAGTGCTCTAGGATGAGTGCGGGGATAAAGGAAGATGGGAAAAAAAGTAGTATTCTCCTAATACACAGTAACGCATTGGATATTTTTTTCCCAATCACTGACACTAAATTCTAAGTACATAGAACACACATTGCAGGGACAACATCAATGAGGAACCATTTGTAGTGTACTGGCAGGCAGGGCTTTCATTATATATAGGAATGTATTGACATTCAGCAACATGCATTGTTGGAAGCTTTGTGCTGCACCTAAACATCTACTGCCTTAAGCGATGACCTATGTTGGCTCTCCCTATATGGGGCCTCATGTATTAAAAGTGAATTGTTACCCCTAAGTGTAAGGTCCCTCTCTTTATTTTGGTATAGTGTGCTAAGTACCCTAGAAACTAAAAAGCTACTATTCTACAGAAAGATGATGAAAAAAAGATGCCCATCATGAATAGCAATAACAGTAAGTGGAAAGGATAACCAAGAGCACTGATAGTAAGGCGTGTTCCTGCTGCTACAGCAGTGAGACTACATGATGTACAGCACATGCTGAGAACATGAGCAAAAATGATGGCTCAGTTTGATAGCTTTTATTAAAAAACCCTGAAATATCAGTTTTGGTAGAATGGCTATTGTTATATGGTGGTTACTAATGACAGTTTAAATATATTTTTTCTTGGGTGCAGAGTACAACTTTAAAGAAGACCTTGTCTTTTTTGTATATCTTATTCCTCTATTTATGCATGTGATCACATTTCCTAAATGAGAGCTAAAAATTACTTTTCAATGCTTTTTCTTTCCATAGAAGCAGTTTGCTTGCCTCCTGGGTGTCAACTGGGTCTACTGTGCCCTTTTAAAGACATTTCCCCAAGAGACTATATCAATCTTTCTAAGCTCCCTCTACTCCTCCCATGTGTTCATTTAAATTAGAAAGAGGTGATAGGCTAAGCAGTTGTATTTCCACTTTTGCATCCAGTATGGGATAACACCTACTTTATATTTGCTACACATTCCCTTATACATAACACAACTTAAAAAAAAAAAAAAATTGCTTCTTAACTTTACTTGCTGAAAGATTTTAGTTAGCTTTCCCCTTCTATGTACTGTTAAGGAGAGGGCTGAGGAGTTATGTTTGCCATAATTAACCCTCTGTGCACTGTGCTGAAAGATCTCATTATCAGTTGTAAACTAGATCTGCAGGACCGTCTGTCCTAACAAAAGGCTACAGATGTCAAGGTTTGGGGGTACATTGTATGTTTGTGCACTTAAAGGGGTTCTAAACCCTCCGGTTCTTTTTGCCTATATGTACTGCTACCAAGCAGTACATATAGGCAAAAAGTTAAAAAAAAAAAAAAAGACACTTTAACAGCGGTTTAAACTTGCCTTGTTTTCGCTGCTCGCTCCCGCCAGAGAATACGAAACTGCTCGGGTGGCCACAAAGCATCTTAGGGCGGGCGCATGCGCAGTTCCGATTCTCGGCCGGGAGACGAGCAGAGACGCAAGGTAGGTCTATGGACGCGTGGACCTGCATGCAGACACCGCTGGATCGGAAGTGTCTGCAAGCAGAGAGGAGTCAGCGCTGGATCGGAGAGCAGCCACACTGCTGGAGGGACAGATGAAAACATCAGGAAAGAAGAGGAAGATCGGATTAAGAGACATCATTTAGGGTAAGTGCTAACATTAACATTGGGGGGGAGGGGGAAAAATTATCCTTTAATGTCACTTTAAAGAAATAAAGAAAAATAAACAACAACTCTGTTTGTATGTATCTCCACATTTCCATAGATTCTAAGCATTAGAAGCTGCTTCTAGTGTCTTATGTATAATCCTGCTCCAATGAAACTAGAAAGGTAAGAACATTTAAAACAATTATTTTTAGGCATGCTGTGTGAATGGTAAAAACAAAACAAACATATAGTGGAGTTTTCTCAAATTTGACTGCAAAAGTAGAAATATACTTAAGGTTTCTGGCAGAGAAAAAATGTATTTACTTGGGAGGATAGAAACAAGTAAAATGCAGAACTGGTATGTAGAAAAAAATAAATAAATTGGACACCATGGGCCTGACTATGAAAACAGCCATTTTCAGCAGATAAAGTATCAGAAAAGTTTATTTACTTGCATTACATTGACCAATGAAAATATAAGGGCATGCAATTCTATCAAGGGTTTACAGTGTAGGCAGAGCCATGTTGATTATAGTTCCTAGTAGCCTAAAGTCTTTTGGAATTCAAGCTTATTAGCACATGCAGTAAGATTTTTCTCTAGTTTTTTTTAGAAACCCTTGACAACAGAAATATGTTTTTACTTACCTTTAGACAACCAAGCCTGGTTCTTCGTTCATCACATTCCAACTGCAGCAGACGTACCTCCACTTCTCTCTCAGAATCTTTACTTGGACAAGGTATGTGAGCAGGCCCTCCATTTACTGAGCGCATGGTCACTTTTGTTGAGGGCTTCTTGGCCACTGCTGTAGAAATTTTTGTCTTATCATGGAATAGAAAAAAAAAATGTGTTTTAACTTCGTTTCATTAATTAGTGTAGAGACACAACAGGAGAAAACAAACAAAATGGGCATAGAAAAGACAGATACAAATCTGAAAACAAGTAAAACAGGAAAGGGAAGGCAAGAAGGGCAAATATAAAACACAAAGGGGTCACCAAAGTGGTCAATACTGTCCCCCAAGGTCAATATGATAATTCCAGGGGTCGATAAAAGGGTTGGGGTCAAAAGGGGATCAGTAGGTGGTCAATAAATGATGAAAGGTTGAATGGAGTCAATCAAACATTTGCGCTTTCTCTAGAGCAGGGGTAGCAAACCTCCGGCCCTCCAGCTGTGGTGAAACTACAAATCTGATGATGCATCTCTCTTCGGGAGTCATGTCTGTGGCTGTAAGAATCTTGCAATGTCTCATGGGATTTGTAGTTCCACCACAGCTGGAGGGCCGGAGGTTTGCTACACCTGCTCTAGAGCTTCACAGAAGTCCCTAGTCCTGACGGTGAGGTGGCTAGTGGTGAGACAGTGTTACCCAAGGTTGGATGTTCAGCCACCAGAGAGAGCACCCCTTTATTGTGTCAGCTGAGTGCTGTTACTGGTCTTTTTTACTAGTCTGCTTTGAGCTGTGTGTCTGTGACCTTCCATGTACCTCTCCTGGAATGGATATATGTACATGTTCACATATTCCCTGAGAGCCAGTGAGTACACACATTTCAAACTCCGTTGGAGAGCCAGTAAAGTATACCCATAGCGATAGAATTGATGGCAAGGAACTCATTGCTGTAGATTTATTTTTAAAAAACAGCATTGTAACAACCATAGTGGCAGCTGCTGATACCAAGAGGTAGTGTTGAGAGTATTCATAATAATATTTAAAATTTGGATTGATGGCTTCATTTACAACTTAAACAGTGCCTATCCTATATGCCTTTTTGAAAAGACTTGCAGAAATGATGCCATGAAACTTGTAATATATCCCTTCAATATTTATAAAATAAAAGTTTGGATATCAATGAAAAAATCACAAATTCCTTGAAGACATTAATGCACTGAAGAATTTTGGGACCCTTGACATAAAGAATGAAAGCCTAAGCTAGCCATACACTTGTAGTTTTTTCTTATTCAGTCCATCCATGAATAATAATGCTTAATTTCCCCTTGTTTTCTGACAACTGGTGCCCGCATCTGTCAGAATACCCAAACAGTGACTGCAGTTTATTGGTCCTTCAACAATAGTCAATTGAAAAATTCACTTCTGTCAAACAGAGTGATGCCAACAGGGCCACCCACAGCTCTAATTTTGACAGAGCCAGCAGGACTTGGACAAAATTTGAGCAGTGTATGGGCAGCTTAAGTGAATTTGTCACACAAAACATGAACATTAAGAACAGAAATATTATTGAAGGAAAATGATAACCAATAGCACAGAAAGAGCAGAGAAAAGATTCCTCTTGCTGCTACAGTAGTGAGACTCCATGGCAAAGGAGCAAATCCTGAGAACATGCACAAATATGGTGGATGGTTCAGTTTTAAAGCATTTACAAAAAAAACCCTGAAATATCAGTTTTGAAATGAATGGCAGTGTTATATGCTGGTCACTTATAACAGTAAATAAACTAAACTAATCTAAACTACAAGAAGGCTTTCCCTTTAGCAAAGTTGTTTTGGCCCTATTTGCCATTGATTGAATGTAATTCTGCAAATCAAACATGTTTCAGCTGTGTATGCATGCATCAATAAGTAAACACATCTACAAAATACTCCTATACTCACGTACATATCTTTACCAATCAATAATCATTCATTTATGTTGCTCGGTATATCACCGCTCTGATCAATGACCATTTATATCAATTTACGCCTTAATAGGCAGAAAAATTACTTTTACGACCTTAATTAAACTTAACTAAGTTGTTACAAGCCCCAAGGCAATACGGAGAAAATGAAAACACTGTCAGTGTCCCTGATTGTAATACTAACTTTAAAAGCAGAGATATAATTTGTACATGTAAACTATACTGTATGTGACTCACTCAGTGCCAATGGAGTTAACCAGCCAGATGCATAATTTTATTAGTTTACAGATTAAGCTTACCCACACTGCTTTCTCATTTAAATAAATAAAATAAAAAATATATTATATATATAAAACTACAGCAGCCAGTAAAGACTACATCCAACAAGGAGGCTGACAGCTCTTGAGTCCCGAAGGGATATAAGAGACCTGCTTGCATCCACCCAAAGCTAAAATGTCCATTTTGGGTAGCCTGACCTTTTAACCATACTAAACCATAACAAATGACTGGCTGCTGTGGGAAAAATAAATCACAGTTATGTCTACTGCACTCCTAAATGAATCTTTTAAATTAGTGTGAGCCTCTGTAGGTACTATAGTGATCACACAGCATGCTAGAGAGAACTAACGGAGTAGAAGGTGGATGTGAATGGAACTCAGCTGGAATGACAATTATGGCACTTGCTGAAAGCAACTCATCTAAAGAATAACAATCATGATATTTTACAGGGAGTAGACAGAATCAGGAATCAATAGTACATGAAAACACACACAAACTCTAAAACTCAGATTCAATTTATATGGATTTCAGGCGTATTCACCCAGACAAAGTGAAATCAAATCGTATTTTTAAAAATGCATCGCGACAAAAAAATCATTGCTTTCATGATTCCAAATGACTAAATCACAGTAGAAAATGGTTGGGGGTTAATAAGGGGGAGCGTATTATTTTATATGTGGGGGGTTAATAACCTTACAACCATCGCACGACTTTGGTTGTGCGATGGTTGTAAGGTCGTTAAAATCTCGTACGATCTGCCCATCTTGGACAGGCAGATCGTACTTGCGATCAGCGGGGAGGGCTTCTGATGATTGCAGTGCTGAGTGGGAACACCGGCCCGTGCGGCATTCGTCTTCCGACCACGCCACCAACCTGCCAAAAATCGAACGATTTTCGGCAGGTTTTCCAGCATGCTTGGAAGACAAAAGTCGTACGACCTTACAGTAGAAGCGGTCGCACGCTGCCCATACACCTGCCCATACACACATCCTCATATGGTAGTGGTGAAAATTATCAGTGCCCTCCCAGTTTTGACTGTGGTATCTTATCTGCACCCTGTTAACCTAATATAAAGCTAAAGCTATGTTATAATTGCTGTTGTTTATATTTTGGAAACTTTATTCTAAAGAAAAATTTAATTTCATAAGCTTTAAGGAGGCGTGGTTGGGGGCAGGGCTGGGGGTGTGGTTCGGGCGGGGTTGGGTGGACAGGCATAGGGTGGGGTTGGAGGCGGACCTGGGCAAGGTTTGGTGGGACAACTGGTGGAGAGTAAGGTTTTTGCCTGGCTAGTAGGTCTAGACTTGAAATTTTAAGCCTTGGGTTAAATGAATCGTAGTACAGGACTACATATCATGTACTACGGATCATTTAACCCATTCATATTAGCAGAGGATAATTGTAAATCTATTGTTGCAGTGCATGCTATATGTCGTATATAGTACTTGTACATATAGAGTGCCTGCAACAATACATTTACAATTATCCTCTGCTAACATGAATGGGTTAAATGATCCCTAGTACAGGGCTACATACAGATAATTTAATCCATTCATGTTAACAGAGTATAATTGAAAATGTATTGCCTGCACTGTATTAGCAGTGTGTACTCTATATGTACTCTATATGTAGTACATATAGAGTATATACTGCTAATACATCTAATACAGTGCAGAGAATACGTTTACAAATAAACTCTGCAGCATAATAGTGTGTGCCCCCCCCCTTGCCCTCACTCACTGTGCCGGAGAGAGCAGCGACGAGTCAGCGCTGGTCCGGCGAGAGGAGCTACAGGTGGGATTCTAATTAAGATTCTCGGTAAGTAAGAAAAAAAAACCACAGCGGCAAGTCAGCGCTGGTCCGGCGAGAGGAGCTACAGGTGGGATTCTAATTTAGCTGGCAGGCACCTCTGAGCCAGCTAAATTAGGACCCCACCTGGAGCTCCGCCCACCGGAGCAGCAGTGACAACGCTCGGCGAGGTAAGTAAGAAAAAAAAACCACAGCGGCAAGTCAGCGCTGGTCCGGCGAGAGGAGCTACAGGTGGGATTCTAATTAAGATTCTCGGTAAGTAAGAAAAAAAAAAATAACAGTGCAAGCTTCGGAGCTAGGCATCGGAACATTTTGACAAGTACAAGTACTTGTCAAAATGCCCTGTATCGGGCCCGATTCTGATGTATATA